CACATCAAAATTCTCTCGACCGTTCTGGCACCTTCCAAATTTGGCTCGCGAAGTGCCCGTAGCAGACAGCTCCACTTGAATCATCACTAACGGTGTCGTCATTATCGTCATGGCTGTCCATCACGATTCCATTCCCCGCTTCATAATAAATACGTGCCGGCTGTGCACACCGGTTGTGTGGGACGAGGGAGGAGCACCCGGCAGCGTGAGGATGCTTGAACCACCACACATAATGGGGACTGTTAACGCAACTTCATCTATTTGTGGACAATGTAACATTTGGTAAATGTGCTCGACTGTGGCATTGGCAAACACTACAGTTGGAGTATGACGTGAACAGCCACTTGGAAAATGCCGTGTAATATTATGAGCAGCAAGATATCTCACTGCTGGGCTCTCCAGATGTCTGCACATTTCAATTAAGCGTCTGTACTCATTTATAAAGCAACGGCGATCATTACCGGCTGGTGTAAACAGCTGGACTTGGTGATAGGTGCCTGATGGGTGGTTGGAGAATTAGCATGCTGCAGTGCCCACCGTGGATATTTACCCATCATTCGCATGCTTTTTGAAGAGCGCCTCCCGAAAGTAGAGTCTTTGAGCATGCGCTGGATAACACGGTTTATTGTAATCGGTAGGCTTGATGAGCGGGGGACGAACGGCCATGCCACTTGCTTGTGAAAGCAGGGGGGGGTGCATGTCGCACCTCTTAATGCATAAATTAAGGAGCCCATCGCCCAGGAAGATTCTGAACTGGTGGGCAACGGCGCACGCGGTGCACCGCTAACCGCACCGCAGCACATAGCGACGTTTGTTTGTCTCGCTGAAACCCGACGTGAGTAATGACTCAACATTGTAATGGATTATATAATATTGCAGTTTGAAAGCACGGCCCCAGATGCACTAATACACTGTGCCTGGAGTGGAAGTGAATGCGTCGGTGTGCTTCACAGCTTTGTAAATCAGCCTGGGTCACTGATGAAGTCCATATAACCACTCGATGCTCTCTTCACCATTACTACAGCCTCTGCTACATTATTAAGGGGATATATTTCCCATAGCTTCTGTACGGTTCGGTCCTCTATCCAACTGAGCCTTTGAATGGTCTTCAGTATTACGAGTTTATAACGCCAGTGTTTCATTGCCAATGTCTTTGGTTGTCCTTCTGCCTGTGACCAAGTCACCTGGAACACACACAATCTCGTCGGTTGTCGGAAACTCAGCAAGATTGGCCTGGACCATCCTGAAATGGGTGGCTATCATGCACAACAGGTTGTTTATTGGCTGCGGGGCCTACCTGGTGGACAGTGCAGCAAAATCCATTGTTGAACTGTACATCTATGCTCCCTGCCCTCACCAACTGCGGTGAACAGCGTAGTGGAGTGTGATCAAACAGCCCCTAGGGCTTGCATGGCATGGGTAGAGCTGCGTGAGTGGGTGTACATGCTTCGTGGTACGACAGAGCAGGTAGCGTTCTCTGCACGCAGTGCCGTCTGTGACACGTAATGTTTACACGAGTCGGTGTTTGTGGATATTTTTACGGACTGGTGATTCATCGGCTGCCTGCCGACGGTGCCCGTGACGTCTTTCCGGTAGCTCGGAAGACGATGCGGCATGGTGGCACATGGCTGCAATCCAAGCACTCTTGGAGGCAGGGTTGGTGGGTTGCACTGAGAAAATCAATGTGCAGTGAGACTCCCAAAACTCGTGCATGGATGGCCAGGTGATGGCAGTACAAAGATGTCTTTGCAGACATTTGGGTGTTATCTCTTCACATGCATGGGTTTTCGCCATTCACTATTTCCTCCTGCATGCAAAAAATGTACTGCATTATGCAAGATCCTGCTGAATAAGAATCAAATCTCCATTAGACGTTTTTGTATAAATTTTGTATAAATACGAGATATTATTAATTGTATAGATTGTGGATTGGAGCGACGGAACAGTGGTTTTAGCGCACTGCAAGGAAGGTGAATTTGCGGCGAACCGAGTTTAATTCCCGCCCACGGCTAACACGAGGAGGCCCCTCCAACTTCATCAACCGTCACTGACCGGTATGGTGAAGTATGATCGTACAACCCCCCTTTAACTAACGCAGTGTGGCAAGACCTTCATCCAGCCAGCAGTGGCTTGACAAATGACTACAAATTCTAAATTGAATATGCATTTTTTTAAACAGAGGATCATTCTTGTGCGCTAAATGCGTAGTTGTGCGTAACGGTCTTGGTCTTTTTTTTTATCCGTCCATTTTTCTCCTCCGGCTTCTTTCGCGGCAGACTTCGTCTCCGCTGACACGCCGAGGTGCTCGTCGCCAGGGCAACGGCACGTGCCGCTTCCCCTCCCGAGCGCCGGTATCGGATGCGATGCCATGCCGGCTCCTTATTAGTTATTACCTGCCTCGGTCCGTCTCTGTCGTGGAGACTGCGGCCGAAGAATGACGGCGGAGGCGGCTGCTATACAGTAACAACAGCCACCACCTCCCGTCGAAAAACAACATCGTTGTGCGGACTCTTGAGAATATTCAAGTGCTTTACGCTTGTCGAGTACCAACAACAGCGTGGTAATCGGCTCGTTGGAGCTGGTGATTTAGGAGAAGAAGAACCACCTCCTCGGTGCGTTTTTTGTAAACGTCAGCTGACGCGGCGTTAATCCGGCAGGGATATAACAAGTCGCCTCCACGATTCCATTAATTGGCGCGAATCGGACGGTGGGGTGATGGGGGTGTTAGGATTCAATTCGCAATTCCATTGTTTTGTTGTCATTGCAGAACACGTCGAAGCTATAGTGGCATGAGCATATATATATATAAAATATATACACATTTAAAATAATTGATCAGCGTTACTTAATTGGTGAATAAATTATTGGATGAGTGAATGGGTGAGCGCATTAATTGGTGAGTGGGTGAGTGTGTTGTTCTGTGCTGCAGTGCGGATGAGACCGAGTCCTTGACATGGGTATCGGAATCTACACGTCGCTACAAATCTCCAAGCAGATCAATGATTGAAAGTGGGATCTGTCTGCGATCTGAGCAACTGGTTATAGGTTGGAGGAGATGGTGGTGTCGTTGATAGAATGGGGTCTCGATAATAATTAGACATTCAAACAATGCGCTATCATATTTTATGATGTGCTTTTTTACTCCTTTTAAATATTTAATTTTTTAAGTATACCCACTTCATGCATCATTATTCATGCGACGCAATGATTGTTTTAGGTGATAATTTCGTGAAAGGCAATATCCTAAATAAAGATTGATGGTTAAAAGTATTAATGATAGATTAGGACCATTTTACAATCCACTGCTGAATGATGAAGGCCTTGCCACCTCATGGCATTACTCCACCACACTGAGCAATGTGGGTTTTTAAATTGTTTGGGATACCCAGATTTGGATCATATTTCACTCGCCACTGATACTAACCGTGGCTGGAAATCAAACTCGGGTCACTGGGCTCATAGCGCAGTGGGCTAAACCACTCCATCAGCCGCTCCACCCCCAGCGTCTTGTCATAGTGGCTGGAACAACCTTCAGTGTTTCACATGCAAGATTATCCATCGCGCCTGGGTGTCACAAGGGCCGTAAGCCCTAGCTCCCCGGTGACTTATCCCACCTGCCCGACTCGCTTTGATGAGCCCAAGGCTCAACTCAAGTTCACGCGAATTTAAATCTTCCCATTTAAACCGAACCACCCAGAGCAGCAGCTGCTGATGAGAGCTGAGAGCGTGGCTGCATGTGGTTGAGCCGTTCAATGAGAGCTTTCCACGTAAAGAGGTACATTCTTTAAAGTTCATATTTCTGCTCGAGTTGGTGCGACTTCTTCAGCATTTCGAACACCAGCTGACAATTGGCCTGTTTTGTGACCAGTCTAAAATGTGCTTCGTATCCTGGAGCTCATCACGCACGATGGTGCTGGCTGGAGCAGTGTTGTCTTTGCCCGTGTTCTCTGGGCCTGGGATAGGTATATTGAGATGCGCGCGTGTTGTGTTTGACGGTGTGCTGTTTGTAATAAGCGCCTTGCCTTGATGATGATGATGAAAGGTCCGGTGTTTGCTTTGCCTCCAAATTGCCTTTGTGTGTGTACGTACGTTGAACCACTTTCGCACCGTACGTATCCAACCGCGCTAATCGGAGGTGCAATTAGTGTTGCTGCGCGCGTGTTGTTGAGCGCGTTGCTTTTGTCATCGCAGCACCGTGACATCGACTAGGTTATCTCTGCCACGGGTAGATCTGCTGGCATTTATATTGTCCTGTTCTGTTTACGTGACAAACCTTACTAATTGGCTGTGGCGGGTGGTGGCGGGTTTAATGACACATTTATATTTATGCGATCTAACCCAAAAAACCCCCCCTCTATGTTGACATACAGCACGCAATGTATTTATGTTAATACAAATAAGATGTAATCTTGACAACGGTCTGTTTTGCCACCAATAAGAAGTGACGTAATGTAACCTTCACGCGGTTTCGGACCGGTGTTATCTTGACATGTAAACTCTGGACTGTTCTCAACTTATCAGCTCATAGCCTGTTAAAACATCTTCTGCTGAGTTGCCTGACGTTACAGGCAAGGGTAAAGCAGTTTGGAACCCATTCAGCTGTGTAATTAGTACAGTGGTTTATTGTTGTTGTTTTGTACAATCAGTGCGTGGAATGTAAATATCTGTTGTTGTATTTAGTGGCATGTTATACAAAAGTGCATTTTTTCCCTCCTCTTAATTTACACAGTTTTAATTGGCAAACTAAATGAAAATGTTCCACTTGAGATACTTCCCGCAAATGTGCCACATTTTTTGTTATTCCAAGTGGAGACCCTTGTTCTCTCGACGGACTCTCACCTGGACATAAACGAGGGCCATCGGTCGATCCACTCACTCACTGCTTGCGAACTCTGCTCACCCTTAGGCGTCTGCTGCTCGTTCGACCGCGTCTGACCGGTGGTGTTTTTTTCTCGCCTCGTGTGTGTGTGTGTGCGCGTGTGTGCTTGCCGCGGCTCTAGAACGACATCTTCGAGTGGTCACGTGACCACCGCGTGCACCACAAGTTCTCGGAGACCCACGCCGACCCGCACAACGCCAAGCGCGGCTTCTTCTTTTCCCACGTGGGCTGGCTCCTCCTGCGCAAGCACCCCGAAGTCATCACCAAGGGCAAAGCCTCGACCTCTCGGACCTGGAGAAAGACCCCATTGTGCAGTTCCAGCGCAAGTACGTCAACCGAGGCGCGACAAGGGGAAGGGGTTTATTCTCCGCTTTCGAACTCCGCTTGAAAGCGTTAATAAGTTATCTCTGTCTGACTGGAGTGCAGCAGGGGCGATGGTTCATGGTAACACTCGTAAAGATTATCCCAACGGTGATAAAAAAAAAATTGTTTCAAGTTGTGTTGCTATTTGGGACCTACCCTACAGATTAACGAGCCACATTAACCAGAGCAAGGACGCCCAGATCTTGGCAGGTGAAACAAAACATAAAATGGCGTTAAATGGATAAGGCCGTTGGGCCAAGGCACCCTTGGTCACATGCGGTGGCTCTCACTTTACACGCGACGTCACCGCGTCACGTCGCACGTTAGTGCACCGCATAACGTCGTCGCCCCTTTGTGCGGCTGAGAAGGTGACATCCTTGCCGTCGATGAAACACTTTCGAGGGCAAAAGCGTGTTGGAATGCGTTACGGAATCCGCGTGCGTGATAATTTTTCCTTTTTTGCCAAATGTTAAGCCGTGATCACCGCTCGTAGTTAGTGGAGGTTTTTACGCTTGTGAGTAATTCCACGGGCCAGATGGGGCAAAAACGTGTCACGTCGCGTCGCTCGCAAGCACGCACGCGGCACGTTGGAAGAGAAACGCAATCCACGTGTCGGGCTAAAAGGGGATCGCGTTGGTATGAGCAGATCCACAAAAGAGCAGGCACTGCAGTGGAGGTTGTAGAAGGGGTGTGGGCGATGGGGCGAGCGAGGTCGCTGGACATGATAGAAAGAGCCCCCTTCACTGGAGCCATTTTGCCCGGGCACCGCGTGTAGTTTGCTGCCCGCGTGTCACCGTGTCCCTGATTTCCAAGTGCGGTCTGCTCATCCTAGGGGGTGTTGAGCATTTATTCTCTCCAGCCTTGACCACTACGTACGAGATGCCCTCGGTCGTGTATGGTGGTGGTGGTGGTGGTGGGGTCGCCCGAGGTCGTGCATGGTGTCGAAAGCTTGGGAGGTGGAATGCTCAACCGCATTTGGATCACGAGCAGTGGCCGAAAGCTCGCATGCTGTGCCCACAACGTCTTAGATTTTACACAAAATCCCACTCCTCATCTCTCTCCTGCCCCCTTCCACCTCTCTGTCTCTTCCCCCCCCCCCCCCAAGGTACTACAAGCCCTCCGTTGTGATCATGTGCTTCATCGTGCCCACGTTGGTGCCCTGGTACTTCTGGGGAGAGACCATTCACACCGCCTTCTACCTGGCGGGGCTGCTGCGGTACACGCTGGCGCTCAACGCCACGTGGCTGGTCAACTCGGCGGCGCACATGTACGGCATGCGGCCCTACGACAAGACCATCAACCCGCGGGAGAATCGCTTCGTCACCATCAGCGCCATCGGTGAGGCCGCGCCACATTGAGCGCGCCGCAAAAGTGGTTTGAGCAGTAATCGATTGTCATTCGTATTTATTCACCCCCTGGCAAAAGAGACATCATGAATGAGTTCACGATTTGACGCTGCGATTTGATTCGAGGGTCGATTGCTTCAGCACCAGCTGGTACTGTCTGTCTCATTCTGTCTCATTGCCTTAATAGCTTAAAGGTAACAGGAGAGTTTGAGCGAGCGCATCCTAAACGCTTGACGTCAGCGCTGCTGTCCTTCCCCCGCACCTCCGATTAGCACGGTTGACTACGTACTTTGCGAAAAAAGTGCAGCATACACACGTTCATACGCCGGCAAAGATTGCGCGACACCTTGGGGCTCTCATCGATGGCGAGCTCTCGCTATCTTCCCACGTACCTCCCCTCTCTGCAGGACCTTTCGCCTCCTCCCACCTTTTCTTTCTCCCCAGCTGCCGCCGAGACACTCGCCCGTGTCACCGTCGCGTTACGACTCCACCACCGCAAACTCTCCCCTCCTCTGTGGCCTCCCTAAAATTGGTCATCTCCACAAACTCCAGATGTGTTTTCCAAACCGCCACGGGCCAGACTCCTCGCCTCGCACCCACAAATGGGACCATGTCACACTGGATCCTTTCAACGAGACCTGTTTGTTGTGGGCAACTTTGGAATAATTTTTGGCCGGTTTTCTTAGAGGCTAAGTCGCTAACAGCAGCACGACGCTGCAGTAAAGTTTTGTTACAGGAGAGCTGTCGCTGCCCCCTGTTACAGACAGATGTATAGGCAAACAGAGGTAATGAATAAACACTTTCAACCCGAGTTTAAAATCAATGCCTATTAGTAAAATGTATTTTTCTAATTAACAAAATGAAAGAGTGAAGGGGGGATACGTCTCTTATAAGTACAAATTTTTAATTTACAGAGTGATGTCACCGTGGCATCTGTGTCAGGCTGGGTGCAATTTGAGGCTTCTTTGTATGCGCTCACACGCGTGTGTGTATCTGCACGAGGGGAGTGACAGTGCAGTGGTTAGCACGCTGCGCTACGAACCCAACGACCCAACTTTTATTGTCACTCATGACCAGATAACAGTGGCGAATATTTGAACCGGTCCTAGGCCATGGCTAGGTCGAATCGGCATCAAATGAGTACCTGATTGTGTATGTACAAACTTCAGACCTGGGGAGACAAAGGCGGTCGGGTACGGTGTTGGCCTCCCACCGACATTTACATTTTAGTGCTGCCTATTATCTCATTCCACCTGAAATTATCACGTGGTGTCAAAGTGCAGTTAGCCTCACGCGTATATACTTTTGACATTGCTGCTGCCACGTCACGGAGAATGGCAGCGGTTGTGTGTTGGCTTTCAATTGCCCAACAGCGACCGAAGAATACACATTGTGACTTGGAAGGCAGCAGCAGCAGCCATGTTTTTTGCAGTCCTGCAGTGCCACACTCCACCTCGCAGTCATGCACGTGAGCGGATCTCACCGCTCCATCTCCGCCGCGATCGTCCTCTCGGGGCGCGTCGTCGTGTCCTTTCGCCGACGTTCCGTCGCGAGCCCCGTCTTGTCGAACGTCATCCATTCTAGCACCGTGTGTCCTGCCCAAGCGCGGCACTCTTCTTCACGGACTACACGTCTCTTACATTTGCGCTCGCGCGTGGTTTGTGTGGTCTGTCTCCTGCGAGATCTTCTTGTGTTTGCCCTCTGATGCCACCAAAGTGTGTGTACCCACGAGGCAAAGGTCAGCGTGAGGTCAACTGCAAAACTGGACCGGCGCCGGATGTAGCTCGCAACTGCACCGCACGGAAGCATTTCTAGAAGTAGGCGCTGAGTCTCCCGTTTTTTAAATGAACAAAAATTGTCCGGGCATCATTTGCACGCGCGTTTAGTCAAATTGGGTTCGCTAATTATTACCCGACACCTGTTCCCGCTTCTTTGATGGTATCCACAGTTGCTCCACGTGCTTCTTTATTCGTACTGCGAAGGACAACGATTACCTCTTCAGGCGTGACATGTAGAACATCCTCCTCTTCCTCGCCCAGACATTGTTTTTGATTTCCTTATTTGAGGCCTGATTAGATGTTGTTCTATGTGATAATGAATGAGTAATGCTGCAGTAGTTGTTATTTATGTACTGTTTGCATGTGCACAATTGTTTACTTGTGTTGGAGATTTTAACGTGTTTTTATGTAAATATCATCACCATCATCACGATCCATGAGCCGATAGCCCCGTAGGTGTCCACTGCGCATTGCGTCATTTGTTGTTTCCACTTTCTTCTGTCTTGTGCCAATCTGCTCAAGTAGTGGCCGCATCTTTCTGGCAACAATCTCTTTACGTCCTCATGAAGCCACTCTCTGTGAGGGCTTCATCTCTTTCCGGTTCCTTCCATTTTTCCAACCACACACTTTACATTTTCCTGTTGTTGTCCATCCTACATATATCTGCACACACGTAAATAACGTGTACATCGGTCACTCTAACGAATGTGTGCGTTTGCGCGTGCAGGCGAGGGATTCCACAACTACCACCACACGTTCCCGTACGACTACGCGACCAGCGAGTACGGCTGGCGGCTCAACCTCACCACGATGTTCATCGACTTCATGTGCTGGGTGGGACTGGCGAGCGAGCCCAAGAAGGTGTCGCGGGAAATGGTGATGGCGCGCAAGATGCGCACCGGCGACGGCAGCGGGCGCAGTGGCTAGCCGAGGGGCCCGCCGCACGTGGAGCCGCACGACGCGTCCGAGGTGGGGGGGGGGGGGGGGTCGTGGGGGGGGGGGGTCCGGGGGGACGCACGTCACCGGCGGGTGCTGCCTCCTCCCCCTCACCCCCTACGGAATCCGGCCGGCGAGCGGTCCACCCCCCGTCCCCGCCCGCCCCCTAACCGTGTTGACAAGGGGGGGGGGGCAGGGGGGGGCGGCGGTGTAGACAGAACGGGAGCAGCCCAATCCTGAGGCTTGTCTCTCCGCGGGAAAATGCGCCCCTCGCGTTGGGTTTTCGAGTAACGCGAAGCACTTAAAATTATTATTTTTTAAACCCCTGAAAGAAACGTAAAAAAAAAACACTCGTGCGCACCGCACTTTATGAAATTTTACGCACATCGTACGCCCCTTCCCCCCCCCCCCGCCAAATCGTGGCTTCCGGGAAGGTGAGTCCGTGGGTCGAATGCGTCTCACCTTTGCGGAGCCCGGTCAGTGAGCGCCGGTGCGCCGCGCTGTAATTGCGTTCCCGATGGGAAGTGGCACGCTAAATAAACACGTTAATGAGCATCCACCCCCCCCCCCCCCTCAAAGGACCCAGCGGCCCGATGCATTTTCGCGTCTCCCGGCCCCGAGAGTGTCGTTTTGCCGGCGCCGAGCGCAAGCGCGTGACGCCGCGCGATTGATTTTTGGCCCAAGGCCGCCGGGAACCCCCCCCCCAACGCATTCCGATGGCTGCAGCGATGCTGCTGGGTAGACCAGGTGACCGGGTAGTTGCCGCACGGACGGGGTCACTGCTGTGTGTGTGTCACCCAACTCGACTCATCCCCCACCCCTGCCAACCCCATCTCTCCCCTCCCATCACTGACCTCTTCCCTTACCACCGCCCCTCTTTAATCCCATCTACTACTGCCCCTCCTTACCCTCATTCAATCCGACGCCCTACCCCTCCCAGACGGGCCAGGTGACAGTGATGTCCCTTGTAACCTTGTGCTCGTTGTGAACCGCTTGACTTAGCTCTTACCTGTTTACTGTTTGCTCTATGTAGCACATGATTTCGAAGTGATAGGCTTATACATATATATTTAGATATGTGATGACAACAAATATTAAAACCACAGGTGAAATTGCTGACCATCTGTTGAAAACAATAATTTCTAACTTTGTGAGTTTTTGGATCAGATCTGGACCTGGAGCTTGTGATAAGAGATTTAGGCACAGGAATCTTTAGTTCGTATTTTTACAAACTTACTTTTGACTGTGCCAACTAAACAACGAAGATCAGACGACACTGCTGAGCTTTTCATCGAGTTTTATTTAATTGAACTGATCAGGAGGCGTTTGAGTGTATGCAGGCAATCCGATCGATGTCTGATTAACTGCTTTACTGTTTAAAGAAAATAATAAAATGAAAAAATGTCGACAGAATGAGTCTCTGGTGTGCAGTCACGCGCCGGTTTGTTCCACCACGCAGCGTGAGCTGTGCGGCCGCGGGCTTCAGAGGGGGCTCCGTTGTGTGCGCGTGCGCAAACGGCCCCACGCGTCTGGATTGTTCCTGCGCAACTTTGCAGTTCCGGGTCTCTGTGCGGTCACACTGAGTAACTGAGGCAAAGCTTGGGCCCAGCTAATGAAGGGCAGTGACCCCCCGCTCCCGCCTCGCCCTGCTCTGCCTTGTCATGGAGAACCCTCGCCAGAGCATAACCACACGAGCCAACCAAACTCCAACAATAGTCATAACCACGCGAGCCAACCAAACTCCAACAATAATCATAACCACGCGAGCCAGTCGAACTTAATCCATAACCCTAATCGACCAAGCAGACCCTACACCTCACCACACGAGCCAAACGGCCCTACCGACAACGCTGGCCACACTAGCCAGCCAGACTTTCTAACCGCGACTGCCAAGCACGGACTCACCCTCACACTCGGCTTAGTTATAATCAAGTCGGCCAACGAACCGACTGATGGGAGTGGTTGCACGGTGGTGTTGGCATACTGCGCAATGAATCCAGACTCTGTTTTTTTCGGTAAAGTCACGTAGGTAAAAAATAAATAAATTAAATGACGACGTTTCGGGCGCAACACAAGCATCCTTCTTCAGGTGGGGACAACTTAGCGCACGCACAAACGCTCAAGTGCGTGAAGACAACCTCCGTGACCGGCACGGCATCGCGTGGGGATCCCTTCATCCAGCAGTGGATTGACAAAAGGGGCTGTAAATTTTGCCAACCTGCCACTCTACAAATACCCTGACCCGTAATCTTACCCCCCCCAACCCACGTTTCGTTACTTTTTCACTTTCACACTTTCACTTTGGCTGTTCTCTGCACGGGGGTGGATCAGACCCCGTCGCAATGAATGACGAGGTCAGGTTCATCCTCAATCTCTGATCCGATATTGAAGCAACGGAGCCTCTTCAACCGATAACAGGACCAGGACTCGTGACACCGATAAAAAGCCTTGACCTATGGGAAATAATTACATTTAACCACTGGAGCGCAGTGGAATCAATCGCATATTAGCCAGAACGACGTACAGAGAATTTGACTGCTAATTGTAAATGTCGTGGCTTTGCTCTCCAACGCACCGGTGTGCTGTACTAGTAACGAATTGGCACCTTCTGTTTATGTGACAAACCTTACTAATTGGCTGCGTCGGGTGATGGCGGTTTTAACGACACGTTTATATTTACGTGATCTAACCCCCAAAAGAAACCTGTATTATGGATGAATGCTAATTGTGAACAAGCCCAACTCCACTGGCGTGTAGATGTCGACTGTGAAGGCGGCGCAAACTGCTCTTGTGCCCGCAGACCATGCGAGAGGAAGGGGGCGGGGGAGGCTCGGCACCGGGTTACGAAGCGGTGGAATTTGAACAGAGGGCCCCATTCACTCCTGGGGCCAGGACCCATGCCAGCCACGTCACCGCACGCACCGCTCGCTCGTATCCAAGGCGCAGTCCGCACCCGAGCCATCGTCGGTTACGCAACTTTGATCGGGCGCGACCGAATCCCTTCACGTTGGGACGTCTCTGCAACCAGTTGCGAGCCGTCGTGCTACCGGTTGCTTCACGGCTGAGGCAGACTCGGGTTTCAAGCATCGATCTGCTCGGGCGATTTAGAGTGAAGTGTTCCTTCATCGCGTGCCACGTGGTATTTGCAAACTGCGGTCATTAGAATCACGAATGGTAATAACACAATGCACTGTTCAGCTTTGGATAAAGCAGCTGCAGGCGATGCTATCAAAGTTGCAGACGATTGCGCAACAGCAAAAGTGGTTGTTGGTTGCACGCGATGACGATGTGAAAGTTTGCGAGTCGCGCGACCGCATCGCTCGGGTGTGGACGCGGCGCTGGGGGCTGGGGGCCGGCACGGACTGCCCCGTGACGACAGCCGCTTCGTGGGCAGCGCCGGAGGAGAGCGTGGGGGGCCTGGGCAGAGCTGGCGCCAACCCCCAAACGTGTCCGAGATCCCCGCATGGACGCAGTCTACGTGCTTCGTTTAAAACGTGAACGTGATTTGAAAAGTAATTTCAAGATGTGAAATTGACAGTTTAACGCGTGGTGGGCTATCGCGACCAATATTATCCATGATAAAGGGGAGGGGTTTTTTTTTTTGGGGGGGGGGGGGGGGAGTTAGATCGCGTAATGTGTCGTTAAACCCTGCCGCCACCCGACACGGCCAACGAGGTAGGTTTGTCACGACAAACAAACCGTGCCAATTGGTCACGACTTCGGCACTAACCGGTTGTGCGTTGGAGAGTAAACCCAGGGAATGATCATCGCAGGAGACTCGGATTAACAATACGTTCGAAAATAATGTCGTCAGCCCCGCCACATCGTTGTTGTGGGGTGCGTCTCTAAGCCGGGCGCGATGTGAGCTTCACGCGGAGCCCACGTGCAGTCTGACCGGGTGAGACTCCTCGTGGCCCGGGTCAAACCCAGACTGGTGTAAACCAGTCTGGGTTTGACCCGGGACGCAATGTGGCCCGCGATGTACGTGCGGTGCAGATTTTGACTTAACTTTCGTGGCTGCAGGAATTCGTATTCTTTGAATACGTTGAACTTCTTTCGCACCGTACATATCCAAAAGTGCCCATCGCAGGCGCCGGGGGAAGGACAACAAACTAACATGAAAATCAGTTCTGAAGAAGTGAGCTTTTAATCTTACCACTGCGCCATCTTCTCCACCGCGTGTGGAAAGTATTTAATGAGTTCGTCATTCCCTGCAGTCTATTTTACACCGATGCGGTGTGTTGTTTAACAGGGCCCTGTGTGAACTAAATACAATAAGCAGACAGCATTCTTCATCTATCTGTTGCGCCTCGTGTATGTTTACACATCCCGTCAGCGACACCGACCTCCCCGAGTAGTGAATCGTTTCAGCAGCATCGGTTGAAGGCAAACAAACCGGACTCGTTCAGGCACACGAAGATACAAGACCCCCCCCCCCCCTCGTGTAGCCTGGAACAGACACACGTGAAGACTGCAACGGCACACGAGGGGGTGGGTGGCCAAAACCACGCCCGGCCGCCTTTGTCTCCCCAGTGGCGATGTTTACACATCGCACCAGGTACTCATTTGAGGCTGAGTCGACCTTGGGGGAAAGGCCCATGGCCGGTTTAGATAATCGTCACTGGGTGTTGGTGGCCGTGAGCGGGAATCGAACTCGGCTCGCCAGGTTCATAGGGGCCGTCCATAAATGACGTCACGCGATTTTGGACGATTTTTGACCCCCCCCCCCTCCGTCGTCACACGACGTCACAAAAAGTCAGACCCCTCAAATATGACGTCACAAAGCTCTGCCCCCCCCCCCCCCTCAAAAAAAATAAAACATGCTTCAAATCGCTTTAAACTATTGTCATTGTAATGTGGCGCTGCACTCTGATGTTGTAGGAGAAAACATTTCTTAACACTAGCCGCTGACTCCACCACCGCTCCCCTGACAGCACAGAGTGTCACCCACAGTCTGGGCTCCCGCCTTGAATCAATGCTGGTGAGCTGCCAGACATGGCCAAGCACAAGAACTGGTTTCTGTATTCACTGTCTGATCGGCAGGCTCGCTGGCTCGAACCTTTGCTGGTGAACTGCCAGAGGTGTACAAGTGGAATGGGGCCGTCCATAAATGACGTCACTCACCTGGGGGGGGTGGGGTGGGGGTCAGACATTTGTGACGATGTGTGACGAGCGGGGGGGGGGTTTGAGAAATGGGACGTCACATGACAATTCGCAACTTTAAATAAATACAGACAACACGTTCTAATTAATTAAATGGACTTTTTTTATAAATGTTTTCTCCTACAACATGAGAGTGCAGCGCCACATTAAATACGCACTACAACGACAATAGTTTAAAGCGATTTGAATCATGTTTTATTTTTGGGGGGCGGGGGCAGAGCTTTGTGACGTCATATTTGAGAGAGGGGTCTGACTTTCTGTGACGCCGTGTGACGAGGAGGGTGGGGTCATTTATGGACGGCCCCAATGACAACAGAGCCTGCGTGCCGTGTGAGGGGACTAGTGGCCACGGGAGGTAATGACAGGGGAGTCAGCTGCGAGTGCGAAGGGACTGGTGGCCACGGGAGGTAATGACAGGGGAGTCAGCTGCGAGTGCGAAGGGACTGGTGGCCACGGGAGGTAATGACAGGGGAGTCAGCTGTGAGTGCGAAGGGACTGGTGGCCACGGGAGGTAATGACAGGGGAGTCAGCTGCGAGTGCGAAGGGACTGATGGCCACGGAAGGTAATGACAGGGGAGTCAGCTGCGAGTGCGAAGGGACTGGTGGCCACGGGAGGTAATGACAGGGGAGTCAGCTGCGAGTGTGAAGGGACTGGTGGCCACGGGATGTAATGACAGGGGTGTCAGCTGTGAGTGCGAAGGAACTGGTGGCTACGGGAGGTAATGACAGGGGAGTCAGTTGTGAGTGCGAAGGGACTGGTGGCCACGGAAGGTAATGACAGGGGAGTCAGCTGCGAGTGCGAAGGGACTGATGGCCACGGAAGGTAATGACAGGGGAGTCAGTTGTGAGTGTGAAGGGACTGGTGGCCACGGAAGGTAATGACAGGGGAGTCAGTTGTGAGTGTGAAGGGACTGGTGGCCACGGGAGGTAATGACAGGGGAGTCAGCTGTGAGTGCGAAGGGACTGGTGGCTACGGGAGGTAATGACAGGGGAGTCAGTTGTGAGTGCGAAGGGACTGGTGGCCACGGAAGGTAATGACAGGGGAGTCAGCTGCGAGTGCGAAGGGACTGGTGGCCACGGAAGGTAATGACAGGGGAGTCAGCTGTGAGTGCGAAGGGACTGGTGGCCACGGGAGGTAATGACAGGGGAGTCAGCTGCGAGTGCGAAGGGACTGGCGGCTACGGGAATGTTCGAGAAGGGGGCGTGGTCAGGTGACGGAAGAGGACGGTGGAGTCCATAATAGAGGTTTT